ATGTTAATTTGGGTATTCCATTGCTGTAACAGGTCATAATCCCATAAATTCACTGAAATATTAGCGACCTATGGCCTCAGCCTTTCTTTGTGTCCTTCTGTACCTATGCATTCAACCCATCTCATGTTTTGTTTCACTTGTGATAGGGTTTCAATTCTTAGAAACTGAACATCTGCCTCTTGAAGAGGCCAATTTGGATGCCAAGATTCTGGAGTAATGACACTCACATCCATACTTGCTTCTAGTAATCTCTCAATTACAATGTTATTTATACACACTCTTAGCTTTGATCTTTGATTATTTATAGAAGTCTGCCAAAATATGCATTTCCTATTTCCTACTGGAGTTTTTGATTCATGCTCCACTTCTATTCCATTGTCCAGAACAGTATGCTTTTTTTTTTTTTTACAATAGGCACTGATTTTTAAAATTTTCCTGGTGAGACATGTTCTTTACAGTTACTGGGGATGACTGGACCATGTTTGACATGGGGGCCTGCAAGAGCCCTCCCCCAAGGAATTTACCAATGGCATTGGGTTGCCTTGTCTGTCTTTTGTCAGTCTACATTCATTGGTCCAGTGTTGACCTTTTCCACACCTCCTACATATTCCAGAAGGCTGAGACTGCCTATTCTTGTCATTCTCAGAGGAGACATTATTACTAGGAATTCCTTGTTGACAAATCATTTTCAGATATCGTATTCTACCATTAAAACATTTGGCATTTTGATGTCTCCTCATCCCTTTGGAAATTGCTTCTTTTTCCCAAACCTTAGTATTACAGTCAAATGTCTCAGTGTTCATTGTACTCAGGATCCATTCATGCATTGCTGCTGATATAACTTTCAAAGGCCCCAGTATCTTTTTGCATTCTAAGTTGGCATTTTCAAAAGCCAGAGATTCAATAAGTAAACATCTAGCTTCTAGGTCTGTTACTCTTACTTATACAACCTTAGTTCATCATTGTAAAAAAAAAAGTCACTAAAGGGTTCTCTCTGGCCCTGTTTAACCCTGATATATGATTCGATTCTCTTTCATATTTCCTGAATCCTGTCCCAAGCATTTATAGTCACTGTGCTACATAAGGTGTGTTTGTCATAGAGAGCCTGGTCCTGAGGATCAGAGTAATGGCCCTTGCCAAGAATTTGATCTTTGGAAACCTCAAATCCATTTGTGTTTCCCTTTTCTAAAATTTTTGTCTCTTCTCTCTAGTAGCATTTTCATATCATCTGGGGTCCATTTTCTATTACCACTGATATTAATTGAAGCCAATCATGTCAGGTAGCCTTATTGATTGATTTCCCTAACAAATGGTGAATGCAGGGTATAAGATACTATTGCTTGCTTACTTTCATTTAGATCACTCATACCTTTAGGTTGCTGTGTATATTTTTTTGACCACCTTAGGGTATTTTGTGCTAGATGGCTTCTCAGAGGATATTACTGGATAGGCAGCTAAAACTCTGTGTAAGTCATCCTGGACTCTTGCATAAGATAAGTCTGAATCTTGTCCTTGTACCTTTTCTCCCTGCTTATCAGTTTTGATAATTTCCTCAACCTTTTCAAATCTCTTTACCACTGACTTTTGTAAAGTCTGAATCTCCTGTCCAGTGTTCTGTTCTAATGCCCTGACTGAGGATTCCAAGGTATAAAATTTGTCCATTAAAGATAACATCTCATCCTAAGACATAATTTTGATGGCATGCATATTACCTTCCTGAAGAGATACCTTACCCATTAATGTATCATAACTTTTCAGCAGATTCTGAATATTAAATTCAGCAGCACAAAGTTTCAGATAATGTCTCAGCACCCTTCGACATGAATTGGATTTTATCTGTCAAATTAATGTCATCCTTTTCAATAGTATTAATTTTTTTTCAACTAGCTGTTCATTATTAGTCTATAAAGACTGTAGCATTTGTAAAAATGCCTCATTCTTGGCTCTGTTATCAAACCATTTTCTTTATGGTATAATATGAAAAACAAAACTCATTCCCAAAATCAAATAAATGAATGCATGAGGAAAATCACATAAGCCTTGCAGAATATCATCCACAGTGTAAGCAAAATAGTTATTAAATTCCTGAATGGTAATAATCTCTACAAACATATCTTTCAAATTTATTAATTTACTCACCACCACTAGCTTTCAGCAAGTTGTTGTAGGGGCAATAATCTTTATTGAGCAGCAGGTGTTGTGGCTGCAGCCCAGTGGAGGGGAGGCACAACCAGTGGCAGCATGGGGCGCTTTGTGCTGTTTTGGTTCCTTTTGGGAGCTCCACTGTGGCTATCGGGGGTTTGACAAGAAAGTCATTTAGTAGGTAAAGTCAAGTCAAATGTCGTGGAATAAGAAACCTTCCGGGTGGTGGAACTTTTGGGTTCTTTTTGGTTTATCCCCATAGGTATGGATTTACTAGTCACATGAGTGCCAGATAAAGTTACAAAATAATCCCACACTAGCTCAGAATTGTGTATAACAAAGGATTATTTATTTAGGGGTAGACTCACAGTTCACAGTCCTCTGCATGAACAGGGAACAGGAACCGAATCCAGAACCCAGAGAAGAGAGAGAGTAAGCATGCGCTTTCCATCAGCATTCATAGTATGAGAGGCCATGCCCAAGTAGGCTGGTATCTTAAACACTACTGCTGACTGAAGGAGTTCCTACAGCACTCAGGCTATACTAAAAATGATTTTAGGTGAAAACTTCAAAATAATCTAATTTTTACTGATTATATTTTTTAGTTTAACCCTTTCTTGGCCTCCAAGAGAATCTGAGAAACATGCAATTAATTTTTGTATTCTTGGATCACCATATGATCCAGAAGAAATATTTTTAAAAACTTCCTTGATTCCAATTTAGTCCTATTTTCCTTCCTAATCCACCCTAAGCATGTATATGTTGTTATTCTTAAAAGTTTTTTTATGTTTCACAAAAATATAAATTTTAAAAATGAATTTTTAGTAATCACATATAAAAAGGAATTTGGGTGGTTTGGGCTTTCAGTGCCTAATAGGCCTGAAATGAGAAAAAAAATCTCCATTTTTTTTATTTAAAGGACAATATAAGCATTTTTATTTTGCTAATACTGCAAATACAGGAGAAGAAGGCATCTATCTATAACTCTCAGTACAGACAACTCATACTATTAGCTATCAACGTTATCAAAGATCTGAGAAAAAATTAGAATAGGAAGTGTAATCTAAATGACCTCGGTATCAATCATTAAACCCTTTAAATGCCATATTCTGCAGATCTCTGAGAATGTTGAGGGCCATCTATTAAATCTAGCTGATTTTAACACTTTATTATTAGTCGTTTATTTTAGACTTAACCTTGACAGCATATACAGAAGGCTAAATAAAGCTTTTGTTTGCAAATGAAGACATTTATACTTAGCCTGACTACAAGCATAATTTTGAGCACATTAAAAAGTCTTATCATTTTTAAGGTTGAATGTCTTAAATATCTTTAACATTTTACAAGTTAGTAGCTTTTTGTAAGATTATGATTTTGCAGTTTCATCCCTGTTAAGTTTGAACCTTAAACATTTGAATTAAATATCTCTTAACATAAAAATAAAACTTTAAATCAAACGTAGAATATAGTTCAAAAGTAGTGCTGTTTTGATGACTACATTTTTCTTTTCTCCTTTGTATGCCTGTGAATTCATAATGAACTCCCACAAACATGAACTTACCCATACCTACTCTTCTTTTAAACTACCTAGCTACACATTGCCTGTTGTTGTTGTTGTTGAAGTTGGTGATTCACAGTAAACCATTGGTCGTATCCACCCAACAGTAACGTGGAGCAGGTCTCACAGAAGGTGCCTCATGAAGCAGAGAAGGCAGCTTACTAACATTAATTCTTCCTCTTATAACTCAACATCTAATGTGTCAGACTCTACCCGTGCTACTGAGTCTGCTTCCATTTTGAACTTCTCGGCTGAGAGTTCTGAGCACGATTAATAAAAACTCAGAGACAGATACTGGGGTTCACCTGAAGGCCAGAAAAGCAAAGCAGCAAGCCTCTGGCTCTTACCTCGATCTCAGCTCAAAAATAGTGATCCTACCTCCAGGAATTTTAGAGTGAGACTGAGACTGAGAGCTGTCTCCTCCTCTTTTGTAATCTTCTCCAGTTTTGGGATTAAAGGCATGCACCATCACTGCCTGGTTCCTACAGCAAGCTAATGTGGCTACTGGGATTAAATAAAGCTGTGTGTCATTGCTGCCTGGTCTGTAAGTCTGGCCAGTGTGACTGTTTTACTTTTCTGATCTTCAGGCAAGTTTTGTTTATTAAAATACAAATAAAATGCCATTATCGAAAGCTGTGCTATAATGCTTTCTATGTGCCTCTTGTTCAAGAGAGAGGAAGTTAGGCAAATCTGGAGACAGGCTTTATTATGTTTGCTTAGAGTTTGCCATGTCTCATGTAAGAAAAAAAAAATCCTGGAAGAAACTTATGCCAGGATAGGGATGATCCCCTTTCTTTTGTCTTTACATCTTGGAAAGAGAAAATGTTCAGTAATTCAAGTCATCACAGCTTTGTGTGGACAAAAGTGTCCTTTGTTTCCAGTGTGCTCAGAGGGCAAGAGGAATAAACCCTATCCTTCCCAAGGTGCTTTTTGGTCATGGTGTTTCATCACAGTAATAGAAATCCCAACTAAGACAGCACCCAAAATCTAGTCTTAGAAACAGAGAAATGAAATTTTCTAAGACAAACATAAGCTAACAGAATTCACTGACAATCAATCTTGAATTTTGTTTTCTTTTGCTTTTCTAATATACAACCCTGGCTGTCCTAGGACTTGTTATGTAGCCAGGTTGGCTTCTAACTCACAGAGAGAGATCGTTCCAAGTGCTGGGATAAAAGGTCTGCACCACCACCCTGAACCTAAAGTAAGTTCTTAATGGATTTATTCGCCTGGTAGTAAAAGGACGATGGCTACCACCATGAAAACACTCAACGAAGTAAAAAAAATATTGGCCAAGAAATATGGAAATGAAAAAGAAAATGTATTTATTGCTTTAGAAAACCACAAGCACGCAACTATAAATCCTAGGGGTGATGAAAAGGAAGACATGATTTGTAGGACAACCAGGAATCAATATTTATCTCTGTCTGCCTTTGTGAACCACTGTCCCACAAACAATCACAGATCAGGTAATGCCATTTGTTGAGTCAAGACGGCAGTTCATAAAGAACCTGGTTGCTTTGGCTCAAAGATCCACCCCACTGGTAGAAAGGAGAAGATTGCCAGGGTCCCAGCAATAGAGTTTTCTATCATGGGATGCATTGGCTTCCATGTGAAGCAGATCCATGTCCCAATAAATAGCATTGATACGGTGGCTGAGTAGTTTCTCACCTTGGGAACAAGAGGACAGGTGAGGGTGAGAAGTCTGTCCAGGAAAAAAATCTGCCTACATGTTTTGTGGTTTTCTTTCCTTTCCCCCCTTCTAACATGTTTTCTATTTTTAAGTTAAAATAATTTTGAAAAAAAATAATTTCCATAAAAATATTTAAAATGTAGGCGTTCATCCTCACTTATGAATAAAAACCTTCAAAACAAGTATGTTGAATCCTCCAAGTAGAAGGTACAGAGTTGAGTGGATGAATTAAAAACCACGTGCTGCCGAGGTGGGTCAGCTGGGGAAGTGTTTACCATGCAACAGCGAATACCCATGTCTGACATCGGCTGTTATGAAGGCTGGGCACTGGAGGTCGCTGATGGTCATCCCAGCACCTGGTCACTTCAGATCCTGGTGATTTTCTGACCAGGCAGTCTAGCCAAACCGGCAAGGCCCTTAAGCTGAAAAAAAAAAAAAAGGGGGGTGGTGGGGGATGTGTTTAAGGAAGATGTGTGATATCAACCTTCACATACACACATATAAACTGCACATGATCCCCTGATGCTACTGTCTTTTAATTCTTTAACTGCTGCCTTTTCATTCTTTAAGTGTTATTGAGCCAGATCAAGATGGTAGCCCCCAGATGGCAACACTTCTTCTTTCCAGGCATTCTAGCATCTCCCAAAATGATTTGCCTTTGAGGGAGGAGACAGAGAAACAATGCCTGGACTCTCATGTAAGGATCTCCCATCTACCAGGGAGTGTTAATAGCTCCATTACCACAGCTGACCACCTCTGTATTACTCTGCCCTGGTGCATGGCTGTAGGAGCAAAGCCCAAGATGGCACCATGTTGAGTTCTGAAGAGAAAGCAACCACACAAGGGGCCAGCCTCACTTTTTGTAGCCAGCCAGTCAACAGACTAGATTGCTTACCTAGTCTATATACCAGCCCTCTCTCCTCTCTGTTTCTGTTCTTTCCCCTCCCCTCCCTACTTTTCCTGTTTTATTTTCTTCTTTAGAAGAAGCCAGGCTGGCTTGGTTTGCTGCAGGACGTTTAGCCTCTTCAGAGCTAGGCTGCATTTTAAGAATATATATCTTCCTCTCTCCTTCTGCAGTAGGACTTCATCAAGATCACTTCATGGAAATTCTAACCAGGAAGACTCAAGCTGGCACTTGGAGAAAGGGAGAAACTCAAGGAGGAACCCAGCCGTGCTTTGTAAAGGTCCAGCAGTCCCCAACAGCTTCCCACAGCTTTGACAAGTTAGGCAACAGTGGGACCATCTCAATGTACTCTCATGCCCACCAAAAGAATTATTTCTTTTTAAACCACAGTTAGACAGATGTTTGCAGAAACAAGCAGCTGCAGGCAGTAATGAAAACTTACAAACATTTGGAGATAGCAATGAAAAACATTCTTTTCTTAGCAAACAGGGTCTGGAATGTGACCTTCGACCACAGAACTGTGACAATCATTCCTCAAGGCAGTTTCTTGCTTTGTCATCTGAACCCCACCCCCACCCCTGCCTCCTCAGAGAGCTATGGGGACACAGACTCTGTCACATGGGTCCGCTTCCACTCAGACCGCACTCTTTCCATGCTTTCTGTCTCTGGTGCTGGGGCTTGCGGTCTTCTCAGAGCCTAGGACAAGCTATTGTTTGTTGTACATGTGTCTGTGGCATTAATAACTCTCCTCATAAACTTCTGACCTCCAACAGTTCATCTCAGAGGCCCCCTTGAACACCACAGCCAGGCCTGATGGAGTCTCAAAAATCAAACCAAGCAAAAGAGACAAACAATGAAGTTGAGTTGACCTGGGCCTTTGTCATCTCAGCTGCTGTTCTACCAAGCCCCCACCACGTCCCCTCTCTCGTGGTAAACCCCATAGCTGTTTCAGGTCTTACTTCCTTTATGATAAGCCTATATCTCATCTCAACTCTCTCTAAAGCATTGACTTTGTATATCTGACCTTTTTTTTATCTCTGTTCAAAGAGTCTCAAGGGGCTCCTGAGATGATCGAGCTTATACTTTAAATTATTTAGACCAGTGGATGGACACATTTAGCTTAAACTAATTTCCTCCACTTTCCTTTTTAAAAATACCAGCACCGTTTTCCAGGTTAGGAGCAGATTATCATGGGATCTTCTAAATCCCTTTCTCCAAATTCTAGGCTTCTCGGCAAGGCGGTGTGTTTGGTGCCTGAGTTAGTCACTGGGTGGAGTCCTCAGGGGAGGCATTATCCTAACTGGGTTAGTGTTCTACTGACCTGGGTCAGATGACCAGGCTCCTGCGTGTCAGTTGGTTTGGCCCCTTTCTTCAGCAACACCGATCACATCTGGTTCAAATTAAAGGTCTTCCAGGCTGAGGGCTGGTCACTGAGTCCGAGGCGGCTCTACGTGGCCCTCCCAGAAACAGCCACCTGGGCAGCTTTAGGCTCCACATTCTCCCCGCACCCCCTTTGTGCATCTCACAGTGTTCTCCCCACACCCACAGCACCGGCTGTTTACAATACTCCGCCGTTTTCTTCAGGGGAAAGTCACTTCCCGGTTTCATTTTCTTGATATTTGGACTTAAATTTGTTTTCTCTTTGCCCACAATCTACTAGAGGTTTTCTTTCTATGAAAGCTGAAAAAAAAATTGCCTTGAAAATTATAAAGAAAAATGGCCCAACCCTTTGCCTCTCATTCACTCCCGTTAACCTTGGGATGATACAGGATCTATTACAAGAGCAGCAAGACCGGCCTTACTAAAGGACCACTGTGGGAAAATAACCCACAAAACTATTTTGTTACTGTTACTTAAATTTAAAATGAAAAAAGAGACACGAATGAAGGAAAAAGTCAGCCTTGCTTTCATCTATTCAATCATTCATTCATGCTTCCTTTTTTCCAGTTAGTCTGGGTGCCCTTTGTAGTTAGCATGAGTTACAGATAGACAAACAAACGAAGAGAACCAATCATCTGGAACTGATGAACAACTAAAGGCCCCTGGTTTCTCTAACAGAAACTAAATCTTCAAAAGGGATGTTTCAAAACTTCTTGGAACTTTTGTTTCCAGCATTTTAACTTACTTACCAATCTCAGCCAGACACAAACTAGCCAGAGTCAAGTTAAATCCAGTGATTTTTCAAGCAAATAAACCCCAAGCTTACTAAGCACAAGAACTGATTGTATGAGGACAAGATACTTTAAAATCCGTTGTCCTTATCCTACACCAATACACTTTTGTTATATGAACTTTTCATGAGAGACACAGTCACCTACTTGCCCAACTCACAAACTAAAGTGATGAGATTGTTCAGTCGTTTACTAAAAGAATCCAACCACAAAAGCTATGCGTGGCAAAGCAAAAAATTGTCTATTGAATGGAGAGATTGTAAAGGGGTGATCCCTTTACCTACTCAGACAAAACAAAGGTTCACTGTCACCATCTGAAGGCTGTTGACATCTTTGACAGCCAGAAGTCAAAGATGAGATTACCACGAGGGCCATAGTCCTCCAGGCAAGCACTATAGGGTTAGAGATAAAGATCTAGAGAGTGCTCTTTTTTTTTCCCCAACAAAGAAACAAGTCCCTTTCAATAAAGCTGAGAGAATTGCTAGGGCTGGAGAGATGGCTCAGTGGTTAAGAGCATTGCCTGATCTTCCAGAAGTCCTGAGTTCAATTCCCAGCAACCTCATGGTGACTCACACCATCTTTAATGAGATCTAATGCCCTCTTCTGGCATGTGGGCATACACGCAGACAGAATATTGTAATATACATAATAAATAAATAAATATTTAAAAAAAATAGATGTAATAAGTACCTTGGTGAAGGGACTTTACTGGAGAGCCGGGATGACCATGTAAGTAGGCTCTCAACAGCCGCAAGCATTTAAAAAGGATGTGGGTTGATTCTAGGATTATTGGGACAGGAGGAATAGCATAGTAGATGCCAGTAAGAAAATGGTAGCCAGAGGGCAGTGTTTTAATCCCAGCCTTGTGGCTCCCTTGAACTACAGCCATATCGCCTCAAATGAATGAGTTTAAGGTGAGAACCAACAGAGAAGTCCCTTCTCCAGTAGCCAGCAGGCTCTGTTGTGAATGAAACAATGAACAAAATTTCCATTCTAAGGAGTTTCCTTGACATGGGTGGTATGTTAAATTCCTACACATTTGGGACACTGCGGTGAGAGGATTCCTGCATGTTCTAGGCCAACTGGAGACACTAAGTGAGATCTTGATTTAAAAAAAACAACAACAACAACAAAAAGAACCCCCTCAGCAACAACAACAGTATAAATCTCCAAACAAATACAGAAACCCCTAAGGGAAGAATTTCTAGGTAAAAATGGAGGTGACAATAAGGACACAAGACACATGTGGTGTGTGAAAGTGTACTTGAGATCACAAGTTCAGTATACTTCTCATTGATGGATACCCATTTGAATTGACATAACAGAAATTTACTGGGAATATTAACTTTAATCATACAATCCTGAATGGATGTCATAAAAAAAATCACAAATGAAAGCAAAATTTAGAAAATGTTCAGAAAATGTAAGTTTTGTGCTTCCTGTTTAAGAGCCATTATGCATAGGCTGTCTTCACAGAACAGAATCCAAAGTTTACCCACCCCCACCCCAACACACTCACCTCCTGCCAGTTAACCAGGCCAGCAGCATCCTTTCCCCAGGGCTCTCGTGCTCCCTCTCCTGGCCGCCCTGGTGATGTGCAGCTATGCCCTGTTAGCTGTGGCCTGCCTCAGAACTCAAGTATGCTGAGTCAGAAGACATTTGTGCTCCTAGGCTAAAAGACAATTTCCCGTTTCTAGTGTCTGAAAGAAAGGACTTCCGATCCCTCAAACAGTGAGCGACAGCTAGATTCAGAAGTCGCATGGTGGGAGGTGGAGCAAACTCCTGCATATTGCCTTCCGACTGCCGTGTGTGTGACACGATACATGAGTTCACACACTTAATACATACACAAAGACCCGCAACAAAAATTAAGAATGAAAGGTGGGGCTCCTGGAGGAGAAAGTGTTTTAACGTCCCCTGCATGTTATTTTTCTGCCTTTTCTGCATGCGCTCTGTAGCGAGCCGTCTACAAGCTGAGGCGTTTCAGTAAACTGAAATGTCCCTCTGCTGAGTGTCAAAGGCTTATTAGAAAACGCCATCTCGATCTGGAACTGCGTGGAAGCGTGGGGCAGACCTGGGAAGAGGACAGCACGCCATTCCTCTGCCAGAGCGATCTACGTGGTGCGCACGACTCTCCCACGCGCGGAGAAATCCACACCGCTGGTCCTGGCGCCGCACGCGAGCCTCTCCTCTCCACCAGCTCTCCTCCCGACTGAATCCACTTATTCCCCTGCCGCAGCGTTTCCCCGCCTCCGCGTCCAGCCCATTCGCGCAGGCGGTTGTCTTCCCTTGTGATTCTGACTTCGAGTTTCTATAAAGAGTGACAAGACACAGGAAGAAAGCGAAGGCTTCGCGGAGCCGCGGTGAGCAGGTTTGTGCTTCTTTGTGCTTATGTGCCTCGGGAGCAATATTCTGGGCGCTGGAGGAAAGCCCCACTCCAGGGACGTCAGCGAAGCTGAAAGCGAAAGAAAACCGCACCTTAGCTGAGCCGCTTAGTGAGCGGCGCGTGGGAGCGCGCCCCCTGGTGGCTCCTCTTATCCACGTCCGATGAGGCCGCACAAGCAACTGTCTTGTCAGTCTGGCTCCAAAAGGCACAAGTACTGCTATAAACGTTGAATGTACATTCTACAATACATAAGAATTAAACTCGGATGGTACATATGTTGCTGTTAGAAGGGTTCAGAAGTATCCGTGCATCACTCCTATTTAACGCATATGTGTTACATATTTATGTATTGGTTAGATTTTGTCAACTCAATACAGTCTAGAGTGACCTCGTAAGACTGAACCTCAACCGAGGAACTGACTTCCGTCAGATTGCCTGTGGGCTTGTCTGTCAAGCATTTTTCTTAAATGCTAAATGATGCAGGAGAGCCTAGACCATGACGGGCAGTGTCATCCTTAGGAAGGTGGGCCTGGGCTACATAGGAAATGTAAGTGTGAGCCTGGGAGAAAGCCAGCAAACAGCGTTTCTCTATGGCCACATCCCTGCTTCAGTTCCCACCTCTGTGTTCCTGTCTTGAGTTCCTGCCTTGGCTTCCCTTGGTGATGGACTGCAACCTAGAAGCCAAAGAAACCCTTTCTTCCTCCAAGTTGCTCTTGGTTTGTGTTTCAACACAGTAACACAGAAGGAAGCTAGAATAGCGTATCTTTTCCATGTACTCCCTGAACGGAAGATCATACTACTTGAAAGGTATAATAGAACATAAAATACCTACATATCCTGTGTGTTTATGCACATACACACATATGAAATATACACGTAGGTATAATCCTACTGATTTTGGTGACACTTTACATTTCTAACGTGAAAAGGCTTTCCCGGCCGGTTCTGTGTTGTCTCATTGATCAGTACATCTCTGTAGCTGTATCACTCGCAGTCCTCAAAAGTTCAGCTGAAGTACGGAAAGGTGGAGCGGGAGTCAGTGTGCAGTACCCCCCCCCCCCCCCCCCCCCCCCCCCCCCCCCCCNGGGGGGGGGGGGTCAGTGTGCCGCCCCCCCCCCCCCCCCCGGCGCAGGTTCCGCTACGGTTCTGGAGTTCACCTGCTTCACTCACACGCTATCTGTTGAGAAAGAAGGTGAGGAGAGACTCGGACCTCTGCGATGGAGTGTTTGCAATGATCGCCGTGCTGGGACAGCTGAAGGCAGCTGCATGCGACTGGTTGCAGCTAGCTGTCTTCAGGCAACGACACCCTGGACCAGTTGGCAGAGCCACACACAGGACCCAACAGGCACAGAAAACTAGATGGCAGAGTTGCAGCCTGAACTTGTATCTATACACAATGCACACATGTGCATGCACACATGTGCATGCATGTGCACGCGCGCGCACACACACACACACACACACAGACAGAGACAGAGACAGAGAGAGGAGCTCACTGCACTGTGCTTTGCACTTTGAAATTTGAATTCTTCTAGGGGCAAACTACACCAGGTGCTTGCTACATATTTTCTCTGTAAGTGAGGGGGAGTTAAAGAGGCAGAAGCGTGTCAGAACCTGAAACTTAAGAAAGCAGGCAAGTTCAGTAGGGCGTGGTAGCCCACACCCTCAATCCCACCACTCAGGAGGTAGGTAGAGGCAGGCAGATCTCTTGAGAGTCAGAGGCCTTGTCTACGTGGCAAAGTTCAAGGCCAACCAGGGCTACAGACTTTTTCTCAAAAGAAAGGAGGAGGATTTGGTAAACATAGATATAGTGGGTATAGATCATGGTCTGCCCCCAAAGATGCTGGTCACTCTGAGGGAACAGATCTCATAGCCTGAAGAAAGTAGGCCTTACTACTCTATAGCTCTCTCTGGGACAGAGAGCTAAGAATCCATCTTCGCTGTGAACTGAAAGTGACTAACTTTGGAACCTGGTTCCTCCATGTTCTTCATTATGCATGCTATGTTTGACAAACTAGCACGACATGAAATGTCTCACACATCCCCTAAAAAAAACCATAAAAGTCAGATATTTTCCATCGTCCAATTTCGCTGGAGGGTCCTCTGGGCTTCTCTCTCCCCTCTGTCCTCCACCCCTCACCCTGTCGTTCCTCTCATTAGCTCTCTTTTTTCTTACTATTAGACGTTAAGTGGTCCTTCTTAATGAAACTCTTGCCTTTCCCTTTAAGCCTCCACCGTGCTTGTTTCTAACATATAATATACCGTTACTTCCTATTGCTCCCCACATCAGTGCTGGGTCACGGCCTTTGGGTCCATTCTAAGAAACCCCACCAGCGAAGGGTAATTATATATTAGATCCTTTCCCAGACTAGCCAACAGCCACGTTATCGCAATTAGAAAAAAAAAAAAAAGCAGCACGCGTGAGAAAGTAGCCATGCGACAGAACTCATGTGAGAAGGCTTTTTATTTGGGGGGAAAGGGAGTGGAAAATGGGGATGGGGGGAGGGAAACCAACCTCTGGGGGCAGGAGTAGCACAAGAGAAGAGGACAGGACAGGGGAGGGCAGGAGAAGGCAGGAGAAGACAAGAGACAAGAGAGAAGAGACAGAGAAAGAAAGAGATGGGAGGTGGGCAGGGCCCTTTTTAAGGGGAACATAGTGAATGTGCACAGGACGTGCTCTTAATGACTATAGCTGAGGACATTGCCTGTCAGAACCCCAAGGGCAGGTCAGTTCAGATGCCTGAATACTAAAACATGTCACTCCTGTTTCTAAATCTAAAACTGAGTTCTGGGACAAACAGAATAAGCAGAAATAAATGCCAAGTTTGTCACACAAATTCTGTTGGCTGGGTAGGGTTTGACTCTCCTTTTCTGTGAAGATGGTGGTAGGCTGAGAGATTATGGCCATCTCTCCACTTCCGGCTGTAGGATCAGGTAGGTGGTCTGAGTCGCAGGGTGACTGGCTGGGTCATTCATAGGTGGGATAGTTGGGAGCACATCTGGGTGAAGAGACAAAGACTCGGAAGGGAGTCTCGAGCTTCTGCGCTGCTGTAATGAGCTACTTTCAAGGAAGGAGGCTTCTCCCAAAGGAATGCTCCTAATGGGACTCATTCCTTGTTCTCTCCTAGTTAACAAGCCTATAACGAATTAAGAAAAGAGAAAGAAAATTGATGCTTCACAACATGCAATAAAGAGACTCTTAGGAAGGCCAAGCACTCAGGCATTCCACAAGTTGTTTCTTCAACTGAAAACCAAAGCTAGATGTCAACAACAGTGGCCTTAAAAGTGAACCAAACTGTGAACCACGATCAATGGTAAGTACAAGATATTTAACTTAACCCTCGTAACTATCCTAAGTACGATATTTATGCTTTATAGAAAATGATAATCATTTCATTTTGTAAAAATAGATGCAACTTCTTAAAAGTTATGTGTGCTATATACACACCCATGCTTCAGGAAGAGGACCCCCAGGATCACAGAGTCTCTGCCGTTTTCCCCTAGGGATGAAGTGGCTTCCTCATGAGTTGGTCTTGACTCCTACAAAGTAATGGATATTTCATTGCTGATGGTGATTTCTGGTGTGGGAGGTCCTTCTGTCTATGCGTTGCTTTTATTGGTTAATGAATAAAGAACTGCTTTGAGCCTATGGCAGGGAAGAACAGATCTAGGCAGGGAAAGTTAGGCTGTATGCTGGGAGAAAGAAGGGTGGAGGCAGAGAGACGCCATGGAGCAGCTGCCAGAGTCAGACATGCCAAAACTTTGCTAGTAAGCCACTGCCACGTGGCAATATACAGATTAATGGAGATGGGTTAAATTAATATATAAGAGTTAGCCAATAAGAAGCTAGAGCTAATAGGCCAAGCAGTGATTTAAATAATACAGTTTCTGTGTGATTATTTCAGGACTAAGCTATCCAGGTGGCCAGGAACCAACAAGAAGTCTCCCACTACAGATTTCTTCAACTTTGTTTTTTGTTCTTTTGAGACAGGCTTTCACTATGTAGCCCAAGGTGACTGCAATTCAAAATCCTCCTGCAGTGGCTCCCCTGGTGCTGGGATTCCAGGAGCATGTCACCATGCTTGGCAGGAGAGCAGCTGCTATTGAATGCTAGAAGGTGTAGGTATGTGGAAAAGGCATGCAGAAACAGTAGTGGAAGCTGATGCGTATCATAAGAAAGGATTTGTGTGGGACTTGTAGAGTGTAGATTCTCTGAGAGTTTTAAAACTTAGCATTCACAATGAATTAGAGCATTTTCCCTGACGACTACGTTGTAAGTTAGAGAATATTTTGATTACATTAAGCACTGAATATACTATACCTGGTGTTATAGTTAGTATTTTTTCAACTCAACACAAGTCAAAGTCTTCTTGGAACATATGACCCTCAGTTGAGAAAATGCTTCCATCATATTTACTTGTGGGCGAGTCTTCGCAGGATCTTCTCGATTGATGATTGATATGGATGTGGCTGGTGCACTGTGAGCATGCCATGGTTATATAAGAATGCAAACTGAGGGGGGCTGGAGATATGGCCTGCTGATCTTGCAGAGGACTTGGGTTTCATTCCCAGAACCTATGTGGCAGCTCATAACTGTGAGGAGAGCTGATGCCCCCCTTCCTCTTCTGATGTCTGAAAGTGCTAGGTATACATATGGTGAACATACGTACCTACAGGCAAAACACTTACACATAAAATAAAAATAGATATATCTTTTAATAAATCGAGCAAGCAAGCAGGCTGAGCAAGCCACGGACAGCAAGTAAGCAGCATTCCTCATGGTCTCTGCTTCAGTTCCTGCCTCCAGGTTCCTGCCTTGAGTTCCCTCTTCACAATGCTGTGTCCTGCAAGATGAAGCACACCCTTTTCTTCTTAAGTTGCTTTTAGCCAGTGTTTTAAAACCCAATTAGGACACTTGATTAAAAAGACAAAGCGGATGAGTCATCAGTAATTACAACGTACCTTTTTAAGCCCCCTTGCTCTCATCACCCAAGCAGTTGGCTAGTTCTTGACAGATACAAATCAAAGAATAAGCTTCTACTTTAATGGCAGTAGATCTGAGGGCACAGGCCAGTAAAGAGCTGGGCAGGCTTTTATTAATGCATGCTAGCAACGGGCACTGTGCG